AAAACATGTGCCAGCTGGGATGTAGAGACCCAAGGGAAGAGGACCACAAAGGACTTAAACTAGAATATATCTGCCCCAGATCTGAATGCCAATTTATCATTACATGAAAATATCTGATCAGGTATGTGCAGTTTCAGCATTTCACATATGTACTTCATGGTCACTATTGCTAAGCTAAATAACCAGGATAGGACATTGCACATAAATGTTATTTACTGATTTAAACATTTAACAGTATTTTGAACGTTGTACAAATCTGTATATATGTATTCAAATAAAACACAGCTGATGAAAATATATATGTGCATCAGCTGTGTTTTATTGTTTGGTTGCAAACTTTACAGATTAACTGTAATTTCTTAACTTTTACATCCTTTTAGGTGCATTCCCCATAAAAAACTGGGAAAACAGAATACAGCTGATAAGATTGATTATTTTCTATTTGCACTATAAGCTCAATTCATAAAGCTTTAAAACAAGAATAAAGCTCTCTAGTTTATCTAGCCATGTGACTGAAATTTTCAAATCTTTTTAAAACTCAACTGCCACTTTTGTGAAAATAAATATTCGTATCCTGGTGCGTTGGCTTTGTAAATTAAACCTCTTTTCCACCCAGACATTGAGTATGTTTACACTACTACAATGCCTTTCTATTGGTCATGTCATAAAGCTTTGTTACTTTTGTCTTTCTTTTATTATTATTCATTATGAGGAAAAACCTTTGCTTTCCCTCCAAAAATTATATATTCAGTATGTTAAAGCACATTATTCATTGATTTAGGTTTGTGATCTATTTCTGACATTTCAAGAATGGCAACTTCTTGGAATAAATAGAATCCCCAATATTTTTGTTTTTTTTTTAATATGCAGTATCTAAAGCCCAAACGTTTTTCATTTCAGATAGAGTAAGGAAGGGTTAAAACCGTGTTGGGGTTTTTTTTTTTTTTTTTTTTCTTTTTGCTTCTGATAAAGGAGATGCATATTCAGCACAGAGTAACAGGGTATCTTTCTTTGTAGACAATTGTCATGAGAACAGATTTTCCTATTGAAAGATTTTTCCCTCCATTTCTGTTCTGTGGCAAATCAAAATTTTGGACTTTGGTGATCAGTGCAATTAGAGAGAGGGAATCTCAACAGGGACACAGACCGCATTAAAAAACGTTTTCCATTTATTTTTATTGTTAAAGGACATACGTCTTTTTTATTTGGTATATTGCTTAGGTAAAATCCCCTGCTCAGATTTTTTAATATGGTGAAAAATGGTCACAAATGTGAAAAAAAAAAATTCATTTGTCACTTTAACAGCTCACATTATTATGCAGCATATTATTACAGCATTGGACATCATACTGTGGAAAGTTTTTATATGCAGATGGTGGGTGGCAAGCGATTAACACTGGAACTACATATTTAATATTTGTAATAATTTTTGCATTTGTTGTTAATAATAATTTAATGTATATTTTAGGAAAGTAGAAATTTCTTGAGCAAACACAGACCTCCACATATTATTAATACATCGTTAACCACTTCATGTGCGGACACTTTTACCCCCTTCCTGTCCAGGCCAATTTTTAGCTTTCAGTGTTGTCGCATTTTGAATGACAATTGAGCGGTCATGCAACACTGTACCCATATGAATTTTTTTGCATTTTTTTGAGACAGATAAAACTTTATTTTGGTGGTATTTATTCACCACTGGGATTTTTTTTTTTTTTTTTGCTATATAAATGAAAAAGTCCAAAAATTTTGAAAAGTGTTTTTCTTATAAAATTTTGCAAATAAATACTCTTTCATAAATCTTGGACAAAAGGTATTCAGTTATCTTTTTAGTAAAAAAAATAACCCAAATTAGTTTATAACCAAAAATTTATACTTTTTTTACACTTTTTTTTTTTAACTTATTTTTTTTATATTTATTTTTTAACATACTGTCACCCTAACAGTACAGTGTCACCATAGTGACACTGTACTACTTGAGGGGGGTGACGAAGATTTTTTTTTTTTTACACTGATTGCTTTTACACCCATATAGGCTGTAAAAGCAATCATTTATCCTTCTCTCTGGCTGCATTCTTGCAGCCATTGAGAAATACTGTGTGAGCTGTGATTGGTCACAGCTTGTCACATGGTACACGGCTGTTGTGAATAGCCTTGTACCATGTGATCTCTGTGATCATTCACAGATTTTACACGTAGTAAGCAATGATGTCAGAAGTGACATCTTGCTTACACCTATTCATGTGATCACTGATTGGCCAATCAGTGATCACATGATCAGGACCTCACACAGAGGTCCCGTACAGCAATCGGTGTTCCTCTGTGGCCGGAGGATACAGCGAGCACTGGATCGTGGTGCCGCGTGCTCCCAAGGAGCGCACACCATCCAAAATGGCGGGCGCCGTTTATGAACAGCAACCCCGCCCCTGGACTGCCACCGTCCGGCCGTTTTATATACGTTTATATATGGCCGGATGGCAAGTGGTTAAGGAGGTAAAGGGGATGTGTGTCCCATACGTAGAAGTTTGTCTTTTGGCTGCCTCAGTAGGATGTGGCCCCTGTGCTTACTATACAGTGTCATTGTTACTTTGATACAGAGCAGTGTGTTTTTAGTGATGCACACAGAGTAGGGATACACATCTTATACTAAGTGACTGATTATCCCCCCTTCAGTCCATCATAAATGCTGCTGCCAAACTCATCCACCTTACCAACCATTCAGAGTTTGCTACCCTTCTCTGCCAATCCCTACATTGGCTGCCACTCACTGAACAAATTCTAAATACAAACAACTCTGCACCCAGCTACATCTCTATCCTACTCCTAAAATACCAACCTAAGTCACCTCCTCCCATGCTAAACTTCAGGACTTCTCCCATCATATGGAACTCCCTCCTGCAATCTGTCTGACTATCTCCTTCTCTGTCCACCTGAAAACTCTTCTCCTCAGAGAAGCCTAACCCGCCTCTTCTTAACAACTGTATTTCCATTTTCCACCAGCTCATCCTCCACAGTTATTACCTTTTGTATCACTTGACTCTCCCTTTTAGATTGTAAGCTCTTACGAGCAGGGCCTTTTGATTCCTCCTCTATTGAATTGTATTGTAACTGTACTGTCTGCCCTGTAATGCGCTGTGCAAACGTTGCGCTATATAAATCCTGTATAATAATAAAATCAGCTGCTGAAAGTGCTTAAAAACGAAGGGTTTATTATCACTTTGATAATAGATTAGACTGAAAAATATTCAGTGTCAGAATATTGCAATCAGAGAGACCCAGAAAGGGGCTTCTATTTTAGAAGTGTCTGTTAACGTCAGGCACTCAAAGTTCAGGCTAAGTAGGCTGCTAATGTACACCGAAGATCCCCAAAAGTATTTTTATTTCATGCAAACATTTATTTCTTTATTAAAATGCAAATTTTTTTTCCTGCAGGGTTCAGCTTTCTATCTAATACAGGTTTGCTGCCTATTTTATTCTGTTTTTTGTGATAGACAGGTATTTTGATCCTGGTACATCTCATATTATGTCAGTTAGACCTATATTTTCCCTACAGTCATTACAAAACCTGCAAAATCACATGATTCTGCTGGACCAAGTTCTGCAGCATTATAACACAGGATCTATCAAATGGGGAAAACTTTTACCTTTTTCGCTTTGATTTCTGCTAATTCAGCTTTGATAAATTGAAGCTATGCTGTCTGCACTGCTGTCATGTGGAACTTGTCAACATGCAGTGAATACTGTATGTTCATGTCAAACAACTGTTCCTTTTTAAGGAACAATGTATCTAAACCTTTCAAAACCAGCACATCTCCCCTACATAGGTACATTTACTGTTGAATAGTTGTTGAGAGAAAAACAAACTTGTAATAGATCCAGCATTACTCACAAAGTAATAACACCTCATTGCCTCTTGCTGTTTGATATGCACTGGTAAGACTTCTCTTAAAGTATATGTCAACCCTTTAAGATAACCCATTCAGTTTAAAATAGAAATGAAAGCAAAACTTTGTGTATAGATATTAAAAACATTCTAAATACCTATTTTCCCCATTTTATATAAGTAATCACATACCCTCTGTTCTTAGCTGCATAAGGAGCTTAGAGAGCTGGGAAAAAAGAGAGTGCAATGATCTTCCTAGTGAAAGGCTGAGCGGGATGGGGGCTGGCACGTGAGCAGAAATCCGATCATTGGGACAGAGCAAGCTGAGTTCACAGCTCAGCTAGAACACTAACCACGCTGTGTTCTGCCTAGTGTGTGTTAGTCTTTAATAGAAAAGCAGGGGGCCTGGCAGGAACACCAGAGATTTCATGCAAAGGAAGCAATACAAAGAGAACAGGATACTTTTTCTTGCAAGTATGTACATGTACAACAGGCACATGTCAGTAATGTAAAATGTTGAGTTTACATATTCTTTATTATAGAACTAATTATGTGTGCTTGCGATTAGCATCACAGTTTGCTTTCATATGTCTTTTATTCAGTAAATCTAAAGTGGAATGACAAAACATTTGTTCATTTTAGGAATACTTTACATGGCAAAGTGGAATAACACTGAATTTAAGGAATTTATTCTACTGGGACTGACAGACAATCCCAAACTTGAGATTATCTCTCTTTGTTCTTTTTTTCATTTTCTACATTGTCACTCTTCTTGGTAATGTTGGCCTTATTGTAGCAGTCAGGATCGATTCTCGACTCCACAGCCCCATGTATTTTTTTTCTCAATAATTTATCATTCCTAGACCTTTGCTATGCCACGATTATAACCCCTAAAACATTGGTCAACTTTCTGTCAAAATCAAAAGCCATTGGTTATAATGAGTGTGCTGTGCAGATGTATTTTTTTGCTGCATCTGTCACCACTGAATGCTTCTTATTGGGTGTCATGGCTTATGATCGCTATGTAGCAATATGTAATCCACTCCTGTATTCCACTATAATGGCAAAGAGAATATGCATTCAGCTTGTAGCTGGAGCTTACACTTTGGGCTACCTCAATGCAACACTGCATACAATTTGTACTTTCCAATTGCCATTTTGTAAGACCAACAAGATTGACCACTTCTTTTGATGTTTCCTCCTCTCCTAAAACTATCCTGCACCAAGACCACCATGAATGAAATCCTGATGTTTATATTTGGAGGCTTTGCTGAGTCAAGCTCACTCATTACCATTATTGTCTCTTACAGCTATATTATATCAACTATACTTAGAATCCGCACCAAGGAAGGAAGGAAAAAGGCATTTTCAACTTGTGCCTCCCACTTATTGGCAGTTACCATATTTTATAGCACCATCCTTTTTATGTACTTAAGGCCTGCCTCTATATACAGCATGAGCCAGGACAGAGTTGCTTCTGTTTTTTATAGCATCATTATTCCCATGGTAAACCCACTTATCTATAGTTTGAGGAATAAAGAAGTAGCTCAGGCTTTAATGAAAATTAAAGCAAAATATTGTTGTAAATAATGTCATCACAACTAATAAAAATGTCACTGTCATAGCTTAATGTACAGTATGTATAGCACAGTGTGTTATAATACAATGTTATTAACTTTGTATTTCCTGTGCCTTAAAGGCTTTTTAGAATTTATAAATTATTCAATAAATATGTATTTTTTTTTTTTGGGTGTCTTTTGTGTGTATATATGTATGTATGTGTGCGTGTATATGTATGTATGTGTATGTGTGTGTGTATATGTATGTATGTGTGTGTGTGTGTATATGTGTGTGTGTGTATGTGAGTGTGTATATATATATATATATATATATATATATATATATATATATATATTGCTATAGATTTAAAAAAAAATTAAATAACCAAAGTGTATATGTAAAACATGTTTCTTTTTATACATTAAGAACAGCTTTCACCTATGTAATGTTTTTTTATGACATATTTGAGTTTATATTAATTGTACAGTATAGGACACAGGCAACACATTCATACACAGTGGGTTATAGGCATGTACCTTCAGGTGACTGGACACTGGCAAGCTTTTCATGACATGCGCCCCTGGGATGCCACCCCTATGATTCTATTCCACACAGTTTTTTTTCTGGTGTCTGAAAGTGATGGACTCCTTTGCAGAGAGATCAGCTGCACTAGTTTGCAATTTTCTCATTTTTTTTTTTCTTTCAAATTTTTTAATCAATACTGTACTGTCTTCTATTACCTACAGAGAAGCAGAATAACCGGATCGATGCAACCACAGTAAAAAAACCTTGTGAGCTATACCTAGACCCCATGCTGTGGGGATGACCTGTAATGTTGCTTCGAGCACTGAATCCTGCATGGACCTTGGCACTTGATGCAATATGCTGAGTCAGCTGCAGGGTGCTATGGTCCATTGCTGTGGTACCTAGTCCCTGAAAACCTCTTTATATACAGTCCAGCATTGTGGACATGTAAGACAAGGTCACCCTTTATCTTTGACACTAACTGTAAAAATGGAGCTATGTATCAAATGTAACTACTTTAAGTTTTTTAAAATGGTTGTAAAGGCGAAAATTTTTTTACCGTCATGCATTCTATGCATGACGGTAAAAAAAAAAAACCCTTCTTTTTGCAGCTCCCCCCCCCCCCCCCCAACCTCCCTAATAATTACCAGAGCCCCATCGCGATCCAGCTGTGTGCATCAGAACCTCAGCTGTCCTGGGTCTCTGCCTCCTCAATGGCTGAGACAGCAGTGGGACAGGGAGGCAGGGGGGGCAGGGCCATGGACACACAAAGCAGCGGCTCGGGAGTGCACCTGCTTGGGTGCCCCTATAGCAACCTGCTTGCACCCTACAGGAAGGAGGACCCAGGAGCGCTGGCTGTTTACCCGAAAAGGAGGATTCGGGGTTTCTCTGTGCAAAGAAACTGCACTGAGGAGATAAGTGTAACATGTCTGTTATTTAAAAACAAACAAATTTAACCCTTAGTATCACTTTAATCCACCCAGAGCTCAGTCTCATGTGCATGACCAGGTGTTGCATTACACTTTATCGCCACTTCCACCTACAGCCCTTACAAAGTACTCAGGCTCTTCCTCCCACCCTTTCACTATGAGGATTCGTTAAAGGGCAGTCTACAGTCTGCAAATTGACTCTACTCCATCTCGCCATGCCAAGATTCCAAAAAAAAACCTCCTCCTCAGAAGACCCTAGCTCATCAAAATGCAAAGCACCTGTATGCTCTACCCAGCCTTTCCAAAAAGCCTCTTCACAAAGTTTGTGCCTTCACTTTTAAGAGTGTGGGGAAATCTGTTTAGGTTTGCCTCTGTCTGAGTTACAGATGCCCCAAACTGGTGGGTTCAATAGAAGATTTGAACTAACCCAGATGGGATAGTTGCCCCATTTTTCACCTAAAGCCCTCAACAGATCCCTTCAAACGCCAAAATTCTGCATGGAATCTGCAAGGTAAGTAACTGCCTTACTGAGACAAGGGGAATACCTGGCATCAGTGGATGTATAAGATGCCTATCTGCATGTTCTCCATTTACCCACCCATCTAGCCATCTCATCACTTCCAATTTATTGCACTGCCCTTTGGCCTATCCTCTTGCTCCAAGAGTGCTCACAAAGGTCTTAGCACCTCTTCTGACTCTGACCAGAAACCCAGGGCATTTAAGTCACAGCGTATACTTGGGTCTGGTCTTGGACACATTCCAAGTATAAGTTTTTATTCCAGAAAAACAAAACATTTTCTTGGCATGGGAAAAGCAGGCTTTTCCCCCAACCTACCCGTGCTCCTATCCAGCCACACAAGAACTTCTTTATCTTGGTGGATCTCCACCCCAGCCCTAACAGTGGGGAAGTACTCTCTCCTGTACCACTGGAAAGTCCTTACAGAAGCAAATCTATCAGGCTGGGGAGGAGTGTTCCAATCCTTCACAGTTCAAGGGACATTGTTAAGAGCGGAAACCAAGCTCCCCATCAACATCCTGCAACTCAGAGCAATCAGGTTGTTCCTGTAGCACTGAACGCCCCTTCCAAAGCAATACCTGGTCAGACAATGCCACCATAGTGGCATTTGCCAACCATCTGGGGGCATGAGGAGCCTAACTGCATTGAAGGGAGAGCAAACCAGATTCTCTCATGGACAGAAACTCACTGTTCAGTGATTTCTGCAGTCCACATCAGAGAAGTGGACAATTGGCAGGTGAATTATCTCAGCCACCACCACCACTCGACAAAGGGAATAGTCTATACATCCTTATGTGTTCAATCTGATATGCCAGAGATGGGGGACTCCCGGATGTGAACATCTTAACCTCCAGATTCAACAGCAAGCTACCTCTGTCTGTTGCTGTTTGTTGTCAAACAGTTAAGGCTACTTTATGCTTTGCTGCCTGTGCAAATTTTGTCTCGTCTGCTCCAAAAATAGAGAAAGAGAAAATGGTGTTTCTAATTGCATCAAACTTTCCCAGAGGAACCTGGTATACAGACATACTCAGAATTCTAGCAGACAACCCCTGTCCTCTTCCTAGGAAGCCAAATCTGCTATCTCAAGGTCCTCTATTCTATCCTCCTTCTCAGTCTTTGGTTTTAATAGCATGGCTGTTGAAACCCATATCTTAAAGGGTAGATGGATTTCTGAGTCTGTACAGTCTATACTGTATACCACTGTTGATTTGTACATTGTAAAGTTCTCTTTATCCCAGGATGTGTAATTGCTAATGCCTTATGCATACTAACATCGAATACAGACCGTTCAGGTCCACAAAGCACACATTCCTAAATGAATATGAATTTATCCAATGGTCTTCTGTGTATTTGTAAGCTAGACCTTCAGAAGCATTTACAAGCTCATCACCTTGACGCACTTACCAAATCAGAAAAATTTCCATGCATGTTTTGTTTAGTTTTTGTTTTATGCAGATGAATGTAACTGAATGGATGTAAATGTGTGTAAACTGACTAAATGCATCTAAACCTGCTTTAACCATGTGCTGCATAAAAATGTCCAGTCAGCAAATGGTTATTACAAAATCATAGCTGCAGCTACAGCCATGATCTTGGTACCATTATTTACAGCGGGCAATTGTCTGTCTTGTAAAAGAGACCACTTTTATGGTACCAAGAAGGGACGTCTTCCCCCCGGTGGTGGTTCCTGGGCTCTCCCATATCTCCAGAAAGCCAGGCACTATGGTAAAGGGCCAGAATCCCATTGCAAATAGGAGATAAGGAATATATACGTTCCCTGATCTCCGCTGTGACTGAAGTTGGAAGTGACAATGATTTTGTCACTTTCATTTTCAGAGCTGTCTTCTATGACTAAAACCAGATGTTTACATAAAGAGTACCTGTCACTGCCCAAAGCTTGTTAGCCCCCTTGTTATAATAGTCACATTAAATGTAAAAAATTGAAAGTGTAAAAAAAAATTTGAATAAAATAGTGAAAAAAAAAATAATTAAATAAAGTGCTCCCGCGCCCTGCACATACACACAAATGCACGTTTGTAAACAGCGATTGTACCACAACACGTGCGGTATCACCACAAATGTCAAAGTGAGAACAATAATTCTAGGGTCATCATTTATTTATTTATTTCAGGTACTTATATAACGCCATCAATTACGCAGCCCTTTACATATATATTGTACATTCACATCAGTCCCTAACCCTCAAGGAGCGTGCAATCTAAGGTCCCTAACTTACATTCATACATACACATACTAAAACCAATTTAGACAGGATCCAATTAACCTACCAGCATCTTTTGGAGTGTGGGAGGAAGTTGGAGTACCTGGAGGAAACTCACACAGGCACAAGGAGAACATGCAAACTCCAGGCAGGTGGTCCCGTAGCTGGGATTCGAACCAATGACCTAGTACTGCCAGGCAGAAGTGTTAACCATTTGGCCACTGTGCTCCCTCAGTGACAATTCTACGCTGATAACCTGTAAAGCTTTAAAACGACGCCTATGAAAATTTTTAAGTACTGTAGCTTGTCACCATTATTTTGGATGTACACAATTTGAGTCTTGACATGTTTAGTATCTACTGTATTTACTCAACCTCATTTTTTATATTTTACAAAAAAATTGTTGTTTTGTGTTTGGGTGCACTAAAATAATTTTTTTGTATTTTTTTTCCTGAAGATTTGTGATTGATAAATGGCTACACAAATATACAGTAATTTGACATAAAAAATTGCAACAGCCACTATTTAATTTTTCAAGGCTTCTACTTTCCTATCAGTAAATGTTTCTTAAAATAATTTTCCAGGTATACATTTTAACCACTGTCATGTTTACAAACAGGTACATGAGATCAATAACATACAAGCTAAGGTGGTTGTATATCATATTCAAAACTGCAACAAAAAAAGAACAAAGCTTATGGTGTATCAAAATGGTTCATTGATCATGTTCCATCACAGAAAGAACAGCATAAGTACCAACACAGGAGCCATAGGCTCTGATTGAGGAATCAGGCGTTGGTAAAGTAGACATCAATGTGTAAAATGCACTATTCAAGAAACAGAATGAAAAATGCATAAGAACAAATCGTCCCTACGGGAGAGCCTAGAAAATAAACAGAAAAGGGGAAAGATGGGAGAGAAAGAGAAGTTGGAGGGAACATCAAGCGTACTCGAACCTGGGCCCTGGGTCTCAGTGTTTATAGCATTGTGTAACTGGCTATTGACATAGTAAAATGGGTATGTTTGATCCATGGGGTCCATAATTTAGGAAATTTCTTGTGTATCTAAAAGGATCCTGGAAAGCATTTCATTAATGAAAAAGAAATCCAAACAGCGGCTAACTTCTGTAAAGGGTGTAAACTGTTGCTTCCAAGCTTTTGCTATGGTTTGTTTTGCCGCCAATAGTACATACATAGCCAGTTTAAATTGGTATTTAGTGAGGCCCAGTGGTTTCAGATGTAACCGGACATGCCATGGGTCTTTTGGAAAGGGACAGGTTAATAATGGTTGTAGAAGTTTAAGAACGTTTGTCCAGAACCAGGCAAACATAGGGCATGTCCACCATACATGGAGTACATCTCCTGGATTAGAGCATCCCCTGAAACAGGTACCAGGAGCAGAGGGATGCAGGTGTGCCAAGCAGGATGGGACCAGGTACCATTACATGACAGTTTTAAAAGCCGATTCAATAAAGAACTTTAATAGCTTAGGAAGTCCGTGTAGTCCAAATTTGTGACCAGCAACTCCTATCCCTGGTGCTTTTAAGATCCCTTTCCCACCTGGAAACGTCCATTTTTTTTTAGAAAATTGAGATTACATTAATCCAACATCTTTCCCAATGGAGTTGTAAACTCCCATGAGTACAATATTGTAAAGGATACCAAATTCCGGTATCCAGCAGGAATGACCAGCACAGGAACCAGACGAAGTATGATTAAATAAAGTTTATTAATATAAATAACACCCATCAACAAACAATAAATAACGTAAAAGTGAGAAATAAATGTGACAGTGCAGCAAACCCATAACAATGCCCAACTAACAAACGCTGTGTACAAAAATTGAGGGAGCTCACATGAACAGAGCAATATCGGGGCTGGGACTGCAAACAAGGGGAGCAGAGTAGGGTACAGGGTACTGGAAGCAGGTCACAGGATATAAAGCACAGGATACAGGATCAGGCAGGGATATGGCTAACAGGCAGAACATTGAGGCACATATATCCTTTAAGTGAAGGATTATATACCTTCCCAGTAACCAGTATCAAGTGGAGCCTAATTACTAGGATAGGCTGGCTGCTGGAGACACTCTCTGGGGGCAACCAGAACTGCTCTGGGAACAACAGTGCAACCAGCAGGTGATCCAAGTACTGACATGAGCGCTGACAAATATTTTGTTCATGTGGACACAACATACTAAAACCTCGGACTGGTGAGAATGACAACAAATTTGGGGTTTTCATGTTAAATACTTTGAGCATTGTTCAGAACTGCCACCACCCGTGGCTACTTTCTTAACTAGCCAATCCCATGCCACATATCTTTACCATAAATGTTACTTCTACCTCCCATTTTCAGAATCTTCATTCTTCACCCTTTTCACTAGTATAAAGGGTGCAACATTTTCGGAGACTGAAAGGGAACCTTGGCCTGTTTTGCCCTCTCATAACCCCTTAAAATGCCATAATTTTTTGTACTGATTTACCAATTTGCAGAGTGGAATGAGCAACATTTTGGCCCACCAGTAGCAAATTGCCATGCTGATTTACTTTTGAATGACTTCCTCGACTCCTGAAACATACCACATGAAAAAAGGCAGACGTGCCTTTTCAATGGCCTGTTTGCTACAATACAGCACAATTGAATATTGTGGTTACTGGTTCTTGGTCAGCAGAGCTAAACGTTCATTTTTTGCATTTAAAAACCTGTTGCGGTATCCCCAACAGGGCCACTGATTGAGGATGATTAAACCTAATAACAGCGTAGTCACTGCACCTCTCCTGATAACTGCAAAATAGATGATGATGTTCACCAAAGTTTCTTTTCTGATTGTGCAGAGGCTGACAGCACACACACACACACAATAGTGACTCCACGCACACTGACCCAGTAACCCGTCTAGGTGATGTCGTTTTAGGTTTTAATGCTGATGAAACTTATAACTGGGGAGCAGTATAGAGCATGGGATACTCCGGTAAATACAAGTTCCAAAGAAGAAGACACTAACTTCAATGTTCTGTAAATAGCACTTCTTGATCCCTGAGATTAGAAGGAATGGCCAAATAAGGGACACTGTACAGCAGGACTGCTCAACCTTTTGAAGAGTGAGGGCCTTTTACCTGATTTGGTAATCGGTCATGAATCACAGTGAAATGAAATGGCTCAGAATGTTGAATTTTTTATTTTGAATAGCATAATGAACATTTTCCTCCTACAGCCACTGACTGCTAGCAGGAAAGAGAAGATGTGAAGTTGGCTTTCAACGGTTGCAGGAGGAAAATGGAGTGGATCAGTTCCTGTATATGCTGCCCTTCCTGTCCAAGTGTAAAAGAGAATGTGATAGGGAGGCTGTACAGGCCCCCTAGAGCATGGCGCTGAATCGTCATTGTGACACAGAGAAAGTAATCCACTCCTGTTTTAGTGGGATATCCCATCCATCTACTTGTTAGGACATGATCTACCAGGTGCAGCTGCTTTACCCTAAATTGCCAACACGGTCTGCAGAGCAATGTGTTTCTAAGGCAAAGAGAAAAAACAAGGGAAGCGCTCCCCTAGTGTAAAACCTTATCAAAGGATAAGTTCACCTTTTGTGATATGTTACACCCATAATCAGGGTGTAACATGTTGCGAACAGACCGGCCCCCTCACCTCGCCGATCCCTGTTGTGACAGCTAGCGGGAATCTTCTCCTCCCTGCTACCTGTCACAATTTTAAAAAAAAACTGCACCCATGCGGGGCTCTGCCTAACTGTTCTGTGAATGAGAACACTACAAGTGCCAACAGCCTTTGCAGCTGTCGGCTTGTAAATCTCAATGAACTACCACGGCGCTATGGAGCGCCATGGTAGTTTATTGAGCCTTCCTGTCAGTAAGTTTTGCCTTCCTGTCAGCAAGTATATCTGCTTGCCTGTACGGGATGTACGAGCAAGCAGATATACTGACAGGTCAGACGGAGACCTGCATGGCACCAGCAATCTGCTGATCTCTGGTGCAATGCTTTAGAGCAGAGGAGTCAAACTCCATTTCATGGCGGGCCGTATCCGCATTACGGTTGCCCTCAAAGGGCCAGTTGTATATGTAAGTCTAGATGTCCAGAGCACCCCCCCCCCCATTACATCAGATGTCAAGAATCCCACAACCTCCCTAACATCACCATGCGCCCTCTTTGGGGCAGAGCTAGAAAGTACAGGTTCTGGAGGAGGACCAGAGGAAGAGTGGAGTCAGTTACCAGAGTCTGCTGAATATTGAGACCAGGGGAGGCAGAGATGAGGGGGTGCTGCAGCTCCACTGAGAGGTGCAGGATTTGGCAGAGGAGTTCCATTCTCTCTGCTGCTGACTGCTGAGACAAGGTGGGGGCGGTGACAAGGAGGTACCTGCAGGAGGGTTGCAAGGGCAACATAAAATGGCCTAGAGGGCCAGATTCGGCCCAAGGGCTTTGTGTTTGCCACCTGTGCTTTAGAGGCTCCAAAAAAAAAATAAATGCACATTTTTTTACCTGCAAAAAAATGTGTATTTATTATTTTTTTGTTTAAAGGTGAACTTATCCTTTAAGGACAAAACTTAAAGTAATCCATTAAATTCACATTTCCTGTGCCCTATTGTGTTTTCTGGTCCATGTGCTGTGGGGAGTGTCTGACTGCTGAGAGTTGCCCATTGGCTTAAAAAATCATTATTCTGATGGACTTTCCCCAGCTCAGGATTGATGGATAAGAGGAACACAGACAACCAGCCCTTTGTGACAGGCTTGTGTACATCAAGGAAATGTGAATTTAATGGATTACACTTCCATTGTTTTTTCCCTTTTCTCTTTGTCATTGTGACCCCTTACATTATACCAGTGGTTGAGGGTGAGCTGTAAAAACACATCTCGACTATAGGGTTTACCTTCCCGCAAACCACAAATGTCAATGAGCCTTTACTGTGCTGAGCCCCCTGTAAGTCTGCCTTTACATTGATGCACAGCGGTTTATCCTCACCGCAGATGCACGCAGTACACCTGTGACTTTCCTGTGGGTTAGCTGCGCTTTGCCATAGACTTCTATTACATCTTGTGGGTGTGGTGCACTTTGTGAAAGCGTACCAAACCTCCTTTAGGAGTTTTGATGTGCTTTCAGAAAGTTCACCAAACTCGCAGAATGTAATAGAAATCTATGGCAGAAAAACCCCATACTATAGATAGTGGTGCCCGTGACACCTACCGGGAACAGTGGGAAATCACAACCCCACTGAGTTTAGAGTGAAACCAAGTGCACAACTATACAAATCAGAACTACCACCCAGACAAAAACTAAATTCTATCACTTGGTAGCCCATCTACAAGGGTGCAAAACCATCATTAAATGTCTTTTAAGATTCTTTTGGTAATATTGACCTATAATATCAGATGTTATCCATTTTATTATGAATAGCTGGATAATGTTTTAGTGTTATACATTAGCAGCTTATGTATATTTGTAACTTAATCCACATTACTTCAGACAAAATATACAGTATCTCCATGCAATTTTACAATAGCTGGATTAAATAGCCTAAATTTAGTCCAGAAAAAAAACACACCAACAATAACCAGAAAAAGTTCACTATCCTATCTTTATTCTTCTTGTCAATTTACTGACTGCAGATTTGAGTTCTTTATTTCTCATGCTGTAGATTACAGGGTTCAGTGCTGGAATTACCACAGTATAAAAAAAACTGCTACAACTGGATCTTGATCTGTGAAATACTGTGCGCCAGGACGCAGATACATAAACAATATTGTGCCGTAAAACATTAAGACAACAGTCAGGTGAGAGGAACAGGTATAAAAGATTTTACGTCTTCCCTCTGTAGAGCGAATTCCAAGTACAATGTATATTATATAGCCATAGGAAACCATAATGGTGACAACTGATATGCCACTGATGCAGGAGACTGAAGCTATGAGCACATGCTCATTAACAGATGTGTCTGAACAGGCAATCTTTAACAAGGGGGGATAATCACAGTAAAAATGATGAATGACTACACCACAAAATGTCAGTTGCAAAGCATAGAGTGCATTTAGCAAAGAAGTCCCAATGGCCATAGTGTAACAGACTGCTATCAGCTGTCTGCAAGTTGATTCTGCCATAATACAATGATATTTTAATGGTCTGCTTATTGCAACACAGCGGTCACATGACATTAGTCCCAAGATCAAACACTCTAGACTGCCAAATATACTAAATAAAATAAGCTGAAGCATACATTCACCGTATAATATAGTGGTGTCCCCAACAAGCAAGATGTCCAGTAGTTTGGGGGTAATGATGGATGAGTAACAGAGGTCTGAAAAGGATAAATGACTAAGAAAAAAATACATTGGTATATGAAGACTAGGAACAGACTTAAACAATATTATAATGCTAGCATTTCCCACAATAGCAAGAGTGTATATAAGTAAGAACAGCAAAAACAGAAAAGCCTGGATATTGTGATCATTAGTTAAACCCAACAGGTCAAATTTGTCCCATAAAGTTAGATTTTTTGGAAAATTCATGTCTTGTTTGTGACGGTAATTGCATGCTCATGTTAAATGTTGATTTAAAAGTATACATAAAAATGTATTTGAAAAGATGACATCTGATAAGACAAGCAAACTATAGCATGAACCTCAAGAGATATCATGGCTGTCTGCAAGGATTTGAAGGATATGACATGTTACAAAATAATCTAAAAAAAAGAACGGCGCAATGGATAATGTATAATACCTCAGTGAGTAAATGGATTACCTAATTTACTGCTGCTATCATTGACATGTGTTCCTACACCTATGTAAATGAATATAGTGAAAGAAAAGGCAGCACAATCCTCTTTAAAAAATTATTTAAAAAAGCATGTGAATCATGTGTAATACCCAGGGCCTTGGATACAAGGGTACCACCAGTCCTCCTGTACGGGATCCAGGCCAGCAGGGGGGCCCAGGCAAGTGGGTGAATCAGATTTGTGGGCAGAGAGGGAGTTCAGCACAGTGGGGGGAAATTACTGGAACCAATCCCCTGTATGGCTCTCTGCAGCAGCTGAAAGCTGGCTTCTTCTCTCTCTTTCATGTGCTGCAGAGAAAGCCATACAGGGGATCGGTTCCACTAATTTCCCTCCCTGCTGCACCCATCACCCTCCCTGTGCACCATATGTTTCCCTCTGCTCCCATGTGCCCCCACTGCTGCAGTGCTGCTGCCTTCCCTCCTCTACCTTTCCACCCGGCAACTGAAGTCACGCAATAGGATCCTTCAGGATGGAAAGTGGGAGAAAGGTCCGGTAAATATGTCACATTACCAGCCCCTTCTTGAAGGAACACAATAATTTCAGTACCGGTCACTCATTGTATTCATTCATAACTGAAGCATAGCAAACTGTGTGGTTTTTGTTTTGTTTTTTTGAGGGGGCCCTGTGCTTTCTACCAGCAGCCCTGGTAATACCACTTAGGGTACTGAAAACAAAAAAACAATTACAATGCAAATAAAACAAATTAGTGTATATGAATGGTGTTGGCACCCTCTGCTGAGCAGCACCTCTCAATCCAATATTGCAACAAAGAGTGTTATGCCTCCAGGAACATCTATTTTAAATACTTATTGCAATCTTACAATGACAACTAGAGATGTGTATAATGGAAAAATGTGTTTTGTTTCAGATTCGTTCATTAAGTTTATCATTTTGTTTCATTATATTCGTTAGGTTAGAATGATTCAATTTCAGAATTTGTTTTGTATATTCAGAATGTTTTGTATATTCATTTTTTCTAATCTATTCGAATTTCAGAAGATGGCTATGTTTGTTCTATTTTATTCTATTCTAATCTATTCTATTTTTTTTATTCTAGTCTATTCTTTTCTATTCTATTCTATGCCTTTTTTTTCTATCCTACTCTTTTCTATTCTGTTATATTCCTTTATTTTCTATTCCTTTATATTCTATTCTCTTTATTCTATTCTGTGTTCTGTTCTATAAAGATGCCTAAGTAAGAATCATCATCTTATTTTACTTGTATACCTTGCAATATTTATTGCAATATGTTTCCATTTCTAATTAAAATTTTTGGAATTCATTTTCAAATGTGAATAATTTGTTTTGTTATAATTTATTTAACTTTATTTCAGATTCGTTGAAATTCTTTACTCTTGTGATTTGTAAATTTGGATACATCCACAATTCCGAATAATAAAAATTTTGTCCAAATTTTGTAACATAACGATTTGCACATGTTGAGTGACGACAATATAACAATATGAACAATGATTACACCCCCAATAATGACACCCTCTGCTATGCAGGGTATGTCTGAACACCACTAAATCAATAATGCAGCAAAGAATGTTATGCCTCAAGAAACACCTATTATAAATACTCTGCAATAGTGCAATATTACAATAGCAACAGTATATGAACAATGGAGACACCCCCTAATGAAATTATGTCTGGTAAGTGACAATGTATATGAAAATAAGAAAATTTAACATTCCGTCTACACTTCAGCATGGGATAAATATTGAAAAAAAGTCCACCAAAATGTTCTTCCACAATAAGCCATGCTGTGCCTTTAAATTGTTCACCATATGCATTCCTGCACCAGGTGCACCACCTGCTCACCTTAATTATATAATCTACATCTAGTATAGATCGATAAAACGCTTTATGCGTTTTTCTTTGAAGAAGTCATGGTGTAATGACAAAACAAGTCAGGACATGGCCAGTGAAATCTGCACACAACTGGAAGTGATGCCAACAGAGGCCTGATAATGTGAGATTGATGTTCCAACTCCTTAAGGGGGCAACGCATGGCTTTTCTATGTGCTACGTTCTGATGTGCACTAGCTTGCAGTGCAGAAATGCATGTGAGTGCATACAGTATTAATCAGATTTTAAAAAATTTACTGTGGTTTCAAATCACTTGAATGAGGTCGTACATCTTCTTTGATGCATCTGGTGTAAGGGCTGGTTCACACTGCCGTGATTTCAGGTGCGATTTGGAATTGAAATCATACCTGAAATCAGATTTAATGAATGGAATGTGAGTGTCTTAACATAAGCCATTTGCTGCAGCACGATTTCAAAAGTCGTTCTTGTATTACTTTTTCTGCAGTTTGGTGCGATTTCACATATAGACTACAATAGAAATTGCCCTGGAAAATGCAAGAAATCATTGGGAAATCTTCAGAAAACGTGGTGAAATTGCAAATGAAACGCGCGACTTTAAATCGCATCCAGTGTGAACCAAGCCTAAAACCTTACCTGGAGAAAAATGATCTGCAATAGAAGTGCGGATTGATCTATACTGAGTTTAGATCATACTGAAAATAGGGTTGCCACCTCATCCCTTTTAAAACTGAGCACATATTAATTACACAGGTTCTGTGGCTGATTAAGGTGGTAATTAACCTCACTTACACCCCGGTCACATCAAACCCGATTTTGAAATTACAGTGAAGTTGCACAATTTCAAAATCGGGTGACCTGCCGATTTCCTTGCGATTTGCAAGACATCTGACACAGTGTATGTAAATCTGAACAAAAGTACTGTATGCACTACTTTTGAAATTAGTGCAGCTCCGACCAAGTCAGAACCGCACCAATATGACTGCTCTGATAGCAGACAATAGGGTGTGACTTGGCATACGTTTGAAAGTCGCCTGGCATGCAAATCACATGCCAAATCGCACCTGATGTGACCGGGGGCTTAGTGCCTTATCTGCATTAAATAAGCCTCAGACCTACCTGTGTAATTAATGGTCACTTTTCAAGGGTTGAGGTGACAACCCTAATTGGAAAGCATATTTCTTGGAGAATCTGGAAGATTGCCATAAACTGTACTTACCTTGATACACCTGGAATAAATTGTGGAGTGAAATTGCAGAAAGCGTTTATTGATCTAGACTAGATGTAGATCATATAATAAGGTGAGCAGGTGGTACAGCTGGTGTAGAATTGCACATGAATTATTTACAACAGAAACAATTGAGTACTGTCCGTGATACTTTTTTTATTTGCACTAACATACAATTTTGAGGACAAGCTTTCGGGGAATGTCCCTTTCTTCAAGGTCCAAGCAGTACTATCACCTCAAGCAACATTAATTATTTAAAAGTCACAGCATGGCTTATTGTGGAAGAACATCTTGGTGGACTTTTTTTTTTTCAATATTTAGCAAGCTTGAAGTGTAGACTGAATGTTATATTTACTTATTTTCATATATAGTTGCAAGAAAAAGTATGTGAACCCCTTGGGATTACGTGGAGTTTTGCATGAATTGGGCATAAAATGTGCTCTGAACGTCATCTAAGTCACAACAATAGAAGAACACAGTCTGCTGAACATACTACACAAACATTAGATGTTGCCGTGGTTTAAATGCACATAACATGTAAACATTCACAGTGCAGGGAGGAAAAAGTATGTGAGGCCCTAGCTGAATGACTTCTCCCAGAGCTAATTGGAGCCAGGAGTGAGCCAACCTTGACTCCAATGTGATGATATTGGATGTGTTGCTGACAGCTCTCCTGCCCCCTTAAAAAACACACACCTGTTTTGGGTTTACTGGTTTCAAGAAGCACTGTCTGATGTGAACCATGCCTCGCAGAAAAGAGCTCTCAGAAGACCTACGATCAAGAATTGTTGACTTGCATGAAGCTGGAAAGGGTTACAAAAGTTTCTCCAAAAGCCTTGATGTTCATGTGTCCACGGTAAGACAGACTGTCTACAAATGGAGAAAGTTTAGCACTGTTGCTACTCTCCCTAGGTGTGGTCATCCTGTAAAAATGACTGCAAGAGCACAGCGCAGAATGCTGCATGAGGTAAAGAAGAATCCCAGAATGTCAGCTAAAGACCTACAGAAATCTCTGGCACATGTAAACATTTTTGTTGACACATCTACAATAAGGAAAACATTAAACAAGAATGGAGTACATGGGAGGACACCACGGAGGAAGCCATTGCTGTCCAAAAAGAATATTGCAGCACGTTTGAAGTTTGCAAAAGAGCACCTGGATGTTCCACAGCACTACTGGCAAAATATACTGTGGACAGATGAAACCAAGATTGAGTTGTTTGGGAAGAACACACAACACTATGTGTGGAGAAAAAAAGGCACAGCACAGCAGCATCAAAACCTCATCCCCACTGTAAAACATGGCGGAGGGAGCATCATGGTTTGGGGCTGCTTTGCTGCCTCAGGGTCTGGACGGATTGTTGTCATTGATGGGAAAATGAATTCCAGAGTTTATCAAGACATTTTGCAGGAAAACGTACGACCATCTGTCCGCCAACTGAAGCTCTGCAGAGGATGGGTGATGCAACAGGACAATGACCCAAAGCATACAAAGTAATTCAACAAAACAATGGCTGCAACAGCACAGAATACGCCTTCTGGAGTGGCCCAGTCAGAGTCCTGACCTCAACCCGATTGAAATGCTGTGGCATGACCTTAAGAGAGCGATTCACACCAGACATCCCAAGAATATTGCTACACTGAAACAGTTTTGTGAAGAGGAGTGGTCCAAAATT